CCCAATGATAGGTGGGAGGAATAAAGCAGAGCTAGTAACAAAGGACTAGTCACCAGTGAAGGGGCCATTAGGGCATTTTACAGCCACTGCCTGACCTTGAAGTCTCCAGTTAAAACTGCAGTGGGAAGAGTCCTCCCTGGTGGTCTAGCGTTTGAGGTTTGAGTCTCAGTGCTGTCACACTGTAGCCTGAGTTCGATCCCTGGTCAGGGAGCTGACCAACAGCAGACCTCTCCTAGACTGTCCGCTGCTCACCTTAGCAGTGTATTCCAGTAGATCTGCCTGTTTTGTTCCCTACTCTGTTTCTGGGGAATCCTCTTGAATTCCCTACTCTGGGGAAACCACCTTTGGCCTACACCCCAGTTCTTGTATGCAAGAAAAATCAAAAACTGCAGCAACATTATTTGTGTTTGTCATAGTTAAAATAACAAACGACTTTTTTCTTTTTCCATCTGAGTGGATTTTCATTCTTTCAGTCCTGGGCCAAATTTTCCTTTTTCATTCAAATTTGTTGCCAACCCAACAGCAGTTTTACAGAACTCAACACATTTCAATAGCAAACACCCACTGATGTTACCTAGTACAGCTAGGTAATATTAAACATGCCTCCAAGTAGTAGGGAACTGAGCAGCTTATCAAGACACTTTCTTCTCAAAGCCCAAAGATAATAAGACATTGAAAGAATCTAAAGTATGCCATACCAAGACAAGTTGGAGGACGGAGGACCCCTAGATGAGCAATATAATAAATGCATTTCTGATACTATGAATTTTCAATATCATCTCTTTAAAAGGAAAAAATATATGCTGTTTCCATAGGAAAAGCATTACGGGGAATGGGTAATCCCTTTCCTGTTCCCAGGTCCCTAAATGTTAGAAATTATGTAATAGAGTCTAAAATGTAAAGAGATACCAAAGATTCTGCTGCAGTTGCAGTGTTTATTTAAATTTCCTCCATACCACCTTTTTTTTTCTTTCTCTCCCACGTTGTGTTCTGGGGTCAGAAAATATTCAGGGTTTACAACTGGAAAAAATATTTATATTATAATGTTATGGGTCCAGTCCTCACTGTAGCATAGCCTTGGTATTAGGCAGCACAGCTGAAAACATTGCATTTATTCCCTGTCCTGAAGTTTACAATCTCAAAATAAAAACAGTGTGAACATAAAATGACTCCACCAAGAGAAATTGTAATTATTCTGGCATCATTGGCAAGAGCCAACCAGTAACTATTTAGATTGCACCGTCATGGCCACATTTAAGCATCAGGGAAGAGATTCGGCTCAAGTGGTTCTTTGCCTTAAAACCTGCAACAATCGTTAAATACTTTTTAACTTTTAATTGAAAATTCTCCACAGCTGTAACTCTCTGTAACAGGCATCCTTAATGAGTGAAATAAGAAGTCTGGTAAACAAATCAAATGTAGGTCAAAAAAAAATCAAGACAATCTGAATGATCTAAATCAGCTTTTTTTGTTCTAAGAGAGAAAAATGATTTGCTGAATTGATGATTTGTTCATCTCTGACACTCAGTAGATATGGGGAAAGCAAAATAAATGTTTAGTACATATCCTATAAGTACAGAAATTATGCTTGATTGCAGTGTAACATTTTGTTAGCTATAAACCATTATATATTGAAAACCACTCAAGAATATGGGATCCCACATTTAAATGACTTTAAATAGTAATTCAGTCTGGCCTCTAATTTGTGCTCAGAATGTGGAAGAGAATTGGAAGATGAAGACCACAATTACATAAGCTTGATCCATTAGTGAAATTAAATATAGCGCACATAAACACAAAGAGTTTATTTAAAATAAATCAAATATCCTCATGTTGAAGCCACAAATTGTGAAATTGCATATGGTTTTCATACTAACACCAAAACTTTTCTATGGCATGTGCAACTGACTAACCTTCTTTCCACGGCCACTGAGTTCCCACTGAGCCAACCCACATATCAAATAAGTCCAGGAACACGCACCCACTGCTGATGCAATTCGTGGTCAGAGGACCGAGCATGGCAAGACCCTGCGGCCATTTTCACACAAAGGTCTCAGGACACAGCTTTTGAATGAGGTCAAACACTGAAAACTAATGTGGTTGTGCGTGATTGAAATACATTGTTGGGCACCTAATCAGAATAAAAGATCACGGGTGGTGAATCCTCTCACCTGCCCCCGCCCCCTGCGTCTCAGGCCTACACCCCAGTTCTTCTATGCACAAAAAAAAAAAAAGTAATGTCACTTCCTTTCTTGGTGTCCACTAGTTTTTCTAAGTATTTTGTCTTGTCGAATTGTTATCATGTAAACGTCCAGGACTTGTCTCCATCATTCTCACTTGATTTACTGCATGTAATTACCTAGAAACCTATTTTGCTGTGAGTTGTAATGGTTTGTCTTTTGTTATGGCTAAATAATATCCCATTGTGCAAATACTACACCTTCTAAGTTCAGTTTCTATCAGTGGGCACTTAGGTTGTCACCATGTCCTAACTATAGTAAATAATGCTTCAATAAATATTGTGGTGCATGTACTTTTTTGAGTTCATGGTTTCATGTTCTACAAAGAGATGCCCAAGAGTGGCATTGCTGGATCTTACAGTACTTTTGTCACTGGGTGGCCCCCAGGGAAAGGGGAGGTTCCAGGTTTTCTGCCCCACCCAAGGGAGGGTGGAGCTGAGCTTCAAGGAGTAGAAGCTAGAGAGGAGACTGGGGAAGGAAGGAAGCAGGATGAGGAGCCAAAAGGAGACTTGGAGGAGGCACATGGAACAGAGAGACATGTGAAGAAGCCGCACTTGCTTCTTGGTCCTGGACTGGTTGAAATAGATGTGGGTGGCAGCTTTTACCTTGATTTTGATTTGCTCCTGTCTCAGACGTGCTGGGCCCCTTCTGCCACTTTCCTATGGGTCCCCACCAGGAGGTGCCTTAGACTGTGACAGGCTTTCGGGTCTCATGGGCCCTGCTTTGGGCCAACCCTGTTTGGCTGGGCATTTACCCACAAGGGGAAGGTGCTTGATCTGGAAACTATATTTTTCCATTCCATATTCCTCCTCCAGGGCTCCTTCTGCCTCTCCATACTTCTTCCATCCTTCCTCCATTGCCTCTCCCAGCTGCTCAGCTGCACCCTTCCTTGGGTAGGGCAGGAAACCTCGAACCTCCCCTTTTCCTGGGAACCATCCTGTTGCAACTTCATTTTTTATGTTTTAAAGTAAATGCAGTTCTCTTTCAAAGTGGCTACACCAGTTTACATTCTCACCAACAGTGTGATAGAACTGTTCATTCCCTGCATCCCTGAAAGTCTGTTTAATGTGGGCCATTCTCAGTGGTGTGAGATGGCATCTCATTGTGGCTTTGACCCGAATTTTCTCTATTAAAAGTGATAATGGGGCCTCCCCTGGTGGCACAGCGGTTGAGCGCTGGGCTGCGAAGCTGCCCACAGACTCTGCAGCGCCAGTTCGATCCCCGGCTCCCGGCGAGGGTCCCACATGGCGCACAGACCTCCCCTGTCATGCCCGCAGTTCCCCTCGGCAGTATATTTCATCAGTCTGCTGTTCTGTTCTGCTCTGGCTCTGGTGAATTCTCTCGCCCTCCCATGCTTCTTACTGTACCCAGTGCTTCTATAAATAAATAAATAAAATCTTTAAAAAAAAAAGTGATAATGGACATTTTCCCATGATTGTTGGCCATCTGGATATCCATTTTGTTTGGTATCTTTTTCAAATACCTATGTAGAAAAGTAGAAGGGAAAAATACTACACAGATAAAGGGCTCTTTGAAACAGCTTAGTGCTTCTCTATTATGTTATTTATTTTCCTTCTGTACCCTTATTTTGACACATTAAGTGCAGGGTGTAATGTCTTTATGCGTTTCTAGAACTGGTCCATTTCCAAAACTATGTGCAGAAAGTAACAGAGGTAGGAAGAGAGTGAGCTACAGAGCCAGATCTAATCAGATCTAATCCTGGTTCTGTCTGTAAGGGCCACTGCCCTTGAACACACCCTGAATCTGAATGATGTATCTAGAAAATCAGAGAGTAAGAACTGCCACCATAGACTGTCCCATTAAAGCTATATGAAGGGACCAACATGGTATCTGCTCAGAACTAGAACAGTAAGTGGCAGCTATTATATTATATTATATATATTATATTATTACTGTTATATTATTATTACAAATTATGAGTAGTTATCGATTCTTAGATAAAATTTAAATAAATGACTTATTGGTATCAAAGATACTTTCTTCACCTCAATGTGCATAAACGCCTTAACGCCTTAACAGCATTTGGATATGAAATTACACGAGGTCCATCCATTAGTATGTTTATTGTATCTCTTTATCTTATTCTTTAACAGCTTTTGCAGATTTTCTACATATATATATATATATATACATATATATGTATATATATATATATATATTTGTTCATCTATTGCCCTCTGATCTGGTAGGAATTTGGAGTACTGGATCATAGGGAAAACATGAACTTTTGTGATTTTATTATTATAAATAATTTATATGAACAGGTTGTTTAGAAACAGGCTACCTAATCTCATACACAAAATTCTTGATCAGTGTTTTTTTTTTCTTAATTCACTGAGCAATAATAGCAGCTGTTTTTTTTTTTTTTTTTTTTTTTAAAGATCTATTTACTTATGTGTGGAAGAACTGGAGTGTAGGCCAGAGGAGCAGGGGGTGAGAGGATTCACCAGTGACAGAGTGGGGAGCAGAATAGGTGGATTGACTGAAATCTGCCATTGAGGGGAGCATCAGGCAAGACAGAAGAGGTCTGCTGAGCCATGTGGGTCAGCTTCCTGACCGGGGATCAGGACACAGTGGCTGGCGATAGCTTGATGGCGATGGTGCTGAGACTTTAATCCCTGTGCTACCAAGGAGGCCACTGGGAATTTCATGGTTACCTAATTTTGCCCTCCTCAGAGCTAAGTGAGTGATGGAGACCGTTACTAAGGAACTAACGTGCATTTCTGGTTTACATTGTAGGTGCGTCCACCTTGTTACCAAGTTTGCTTGGCTTACTTCTGCCTGCCCTCGGCGCCCTTGTCTACTTGGAATTCTGAATGTGGTGTGACAGCTGCTGTTCTCAGACCAGCTCAGAGGACAAACACCCCTGTGATGACTACAATTCCTTCCAATTCCTGTGGCTCCATCCTAAGGCAAATAAAGTATCCATTAACAAACTATCCAACTGATTTACAATACACGTTATGACTGAGGCATTCAGGAACCCTTTCATCCAAAAGAATAAACTTTTAAATGGATATAAAATGATTTTTAACTCGTTCCAATATGCCTTATAAACCACTTAACCTGATTCTGTGACAGTTGCATGATTTAATCCAATGGGACAAGTTACAGTGTTTAATTCTATAGGCTGTAGAGTGAAAGTAAAATCACCATACACAGGTGCTTTAAATTTAATAACAAGTTGTGAAATATCATAGAGGTTGAAATGTTGATTGTATGTGGTATATGTAAGAGTAATACAGTCTTTCGTACTATCTTCTCTGTTTAGGGTCTTGCATATTTTTGAATGACCCCTTTCATCAGGACATTTTGAGTTTTCTTGAAGAAAATAGAGTATAGCAACATAAATTCCATTGCCTAGATAATTTTACTGAATGATTTGAAAGATTTTGACTATTGAAGCCCAAATTCCACAATTTATCAGTGTTCTTATTTTCAAAGTATTTTCTAAATATTTGATTTTCAGAATCAGTAACACTTTTCAGTTAGTTTTTTAATGGTAAAGTCCACATTCCATATGAAGTTTTGTACTTCTGTATTCTATTCCGAAGTTATTTTATTTATGCTTTTCTTATCAATTTCAAACCATAAAAATCAAAGTTCTTATCTAGAGTATTATGATATCACTGTATTTATTCATATGTGATGATGAATTTTTGAAAGTGCTTCCATTTTTTTAATTGAGGTGTGACAGTCTCTACACAGCTAGGAATAAATGGCAGTTGTGTGAATATCAATTATCTAATACTGTCCTAGTATCTTTCTTTTTCTGCATCTAAGAAATGATGCAGTAAAATGTTTCTTTATTAAAGGAATGGGATAAAAAATTAGCTGTAGGTTGGAAAAACTACAGTATTCCTTCTTTTTAAAAATTTAATTTAAACTCATTGTTCACTTCAATGCAATACTGAAAACTGGCTAAAAGTACCAAATCAATATGTGCAAATGATACTTTAAAGAAAGGCCAGGAGGAGACAAATAATGTGTTTCTGCAATGATGTCTCTTACATGTTGGTGCTTCAGGTTTTATAGGTTGTGAAAAGGAAGATACACATTTCTTCATTATCCATGGTGTGCAGAGAAATGTGTTTGAGTGTGGATGTGAAAGAAATTGAATAATAAAGGATTAGCTGGCTCATGAAATGGTGCAATGTCTGATGATTCAAGAGGTATTATCCTATTTTATTAGCACAACCTTGCTAGCTAATTAGAGATAGAGTTTATCTTTTTAGAAAGGATACTGTATAGGTTCGTAAAAGAATATTTACAGGAAGCAAAATAGATCTATTACTACTTTACCCCTACCCCTTACCCCCTTTCTTTAATTTTTAATTTGTATAATTTTTGTACTATATGGCTATGTGTAAATGTTTAAAGCTTTCATTATGAAAATATCAATAAATATTTCATTAGTTTACATTTAACTCTATTATAAAATGAATCTTTTTAAAACAATAAGTGAAATGGATGATTTCCCATGGAAGTATGTCAACAGTCTTAAGATCATAAAATACTTAATTATTTGGAAACACACACAATGTCTTCATATTTTAGAGAAATGAATACTCTGAAAGCCTTCTGTACAAATGTTTGTGTTTTCATTGTTACATGTTTGGGTTTTCTTTCCCAGTATGAACCATGTTGGGCATTTTTATATAATTGGCAATAACCAAATCTTTGCATGTTCACCTTTTATTTCAATGTATGGCAATAAAAAAGCAAAACTGGTTAGATTTTGCCTGAAATGGTTCTGAAAGATCAGGAGACAGACTTTGTAGTTTGTTTACTTCATTTAAATTTGTGGCAGAGATAGGGTGAATTCAGTCTCATATACTGATAACTCAAGTCTCTCATTTCCTCATGCTATTGTACCAATTTGACTGGGACCATCAGTTTTAAACTGTTGTCAAACTAACTAATGTATCATCTGCTTTAAGATACAAGATTCTTAATTAAACTTTATATAGTTCTAGACACATCTGATTTTTCTTTGTATTTCAGGAAAGGTGATAGTAGTTTATTTGATACTGATAACTATTGAATTGACTTTTTAGTTCTTTTTTATCATTTTTCAATGGAGCAGTATAGGACTGTGCTTTGTCCTTTTTATGAATGAAAACAAATTATAAAGAAATAAATGTCTTACTGTTACCCAAGGAATGGCCAGTGTCCTGTCAATCTACCAAAATGAAAATTCGCTGTCAGAAGTTTTTCACTGTAAGTTCAATAGCATGGACTGCATCTTCATTGTTACATGGTGGGCCAGCATTTGAACTGTTCTATGAAAAGTATAGACGTGGACGCAAGACACACACACACACACACACACACACACGCAAACTGAGGTGTGCGCACATGCTGAAATACGGTCACCTGGTAAATTACTAATTAATGAAGATGTCAGTGAAAAGCATGCAATGCAGCGCTACACATGAAAACATGCTGTTAGGTGCTTACAAAGTAAGAGACTCATTTAACCCCAAACAAGTTGATACTCTAATAGAATTTGCATAAAAGCAAGACCACAGATAGGAATTTGGTATAGCGAATGCCTTCTCTGAGTCCTGAGGAAAACTGAGCCCAAACTTCTAAATCCCAGGGCCTCCTGTGTTCTACCTCACAACTTCTGTGTTCTCATTGTGAATTTGCACTGACATTCTGACCTCTCTTCCTTTTTCATGGGACTTGCTTCTCTCCTAGATCTTGGCTTCCCTTTTGGGTCCTGCCTCTGTTTCTCGACCTTAAGTATTGGATTTCATCTATTCTAATATTTTGCTTCTGGTATTTGACCTGGGATTGACCTCGGCTCTCATTCCCCAAGCTTTGGGAGATCAAAGCTGCTTTCTGTGGGAGTGTTTTCTGTGTTAGCGGGTCTCAAATTTGGGCTGTCCATCAGGACCACCTGAAGAATTTGAACAAGTGAAATGGATTCTCTGGGACCCAGTCCAGACTTATAAATCAGAATCTTGGGAGTGAGGCACAAGAATCTGTCTTTTAGGTTGTTCAGGAACACCTGACAGCCAGGTTTGGGAAAACAGCTTATCATGATTACTACAAGCTCTAGATTAACTTATTTTTAACTGAACCGACAATATCAGCATCATGTATAAGAAATTTCAACATCTTAAGAAAAAAAGGTCATTCTCTAAAAATGTTAATTTGCTCATTCATTCTTTTGGTTCTACAGTGTAAGAATCAAAAAGTTATGTACTTTTTCACTAACAAAAATGAGCCCTGATTTGTTTCTAAAACCCAAGCAACAGACTGAAGTTCACTTCAGAAGATTTCTTCTCTAAAGGAATGTGGATTACTTTTGCTTTTTTTTCTTCATGTGACTTGGAAAGTTAATTAAATTTTAATACTTAATTTCCTGAGTCTATAATCTTCTGGTGGTTGCTAATAAAAAGATTGATGAAAGGTGCCCATCCCCAACTTCAACATTTATTTTTCAGATTAGAAACTGGTTTTGAATGAGTTGACTTTAAGATTACTTGATAGGAAATCAAGGTTAGATTTCTACATTGTTTATTGTATTTAAAAAACAGGTATCATTCTTTAATTACTAGTGATAACGTGGTACTTGGGATAATAGCTGTATCTATGGGGCTGTTATCATTTGGTTCTAGAATTGAGTCCAGCTCTTCCTGAAGACAAACTATGAAGAGAAGAACTTGGTCTTTTTGTGTCCTATCCCCACTGTCATGTACAGTTTGATGCATGTACAAACATGTACAAACATGTACATGTTTGATGCATTTAAAGCAAATGGTGAATAACTTCTCACCTTGTATTTCTACAGTGGCTGTGACAAATGACCACAAGGGAGTGGCTTCAAAAAACAGAAATTTGTTCTCTCACAAGCTAATCCAATCTGGAAGTCGAGGTGTCAGCAAGTCCATTTCTGCCTGGAGACACTGAGGGAAGAACTGTTCTGTGCCTTTCTCCTGCCTTCTGCGGCTACAGGCATCGGAGCTTCCCTTGTCTTGTGGCATTTTCCCTGGGCCCTCATCTCATGTGCTCATTCATTGGATTAGGGTCCACCCTCATCTAGTTTGACTTCATTTTAATTTTATTACATCTGTAAAAATACCTACTTCCAAATAAAATCACATTCACAAGTAACGGGTATATAAATATTGGGAAAATACAATTCAGTCCAGTATACATTTTCCCTGTTTTTAATCTCTGTATACTGGGGCCTCCCTGGTGGTGCAGGGGTTAAGTCTCAGCACTATCAGGCTGTTGCCAGCCACTGTGGTGTGAGTTCGATGGCCGGCCAGGGAACTGACTGACCCATATGGCACAGCAGACCTCTCCTGTCTTGCCTGCTGTTCCCCTCAGTGGTGGATTTCAGTCAATCTGCCTGTTCTGCTCCCCACTTGGTCTCTAGTGAATCCTCTCATGCCCCACATCTCTGGCCTAGACCCTAGTTCTTGTATGTATACATAAATATAAATAAAAAGTAATGATATGTGTATACATGCCATTCACACTAAGGAGAATATGCTGGAAATGATGTTATAAGCATGTTTTAAGAAAACAAATAACATACACTAGTATGGATGAATCTCAAATGTATTATGCTAAGTGAAAAGAAGTCAGATTTAGGGGCTCCCTGGTGGCACAAGGGGTTAAGACACAGCACTATGAAGCTATCAGCAGCCATTGCAGCATGAGTTGCATCCCTGGCTAGGGGGCAACCTGCATGGCACAGCAGACCTCTCCTGACTCACCCACTGCTCCCCTCAGCAGTGTATTTCAGTAGATCTGCCTGTTCTGCTCCCCACTCTGTCTCTGGTGAATCCTTTCACTGCCCCGCATCTCTAGCCTGCACCCCAGTTCTTGTACGCATAAATAAATAAATATTTTTTTTTAAAAAAAAGAAAAGTCAGATTTATAAGGATATGTCATTACATTTATATTACATTTTGGAAAAGTCATAACTCTAGGGACAGAGAACAGGTCATTAGTTGCTAGGCATTAATTGTAGGGGGAAGTTCTGTATGCAAAGTACTAGCATGAGAGAACTCTTAGAGTTGACAGAAGTGATAGTATTGACTGAAATCTAAGTATTTGTCAAAACAGCAAAAGTATGTTTTACTATATGTATTATTTTTATACTTTAATAAATGTAGTTGTACAAAGACCATGGGCAGTGGACAGAACTATTATTCTATTTCTATCTGTTATTGCTTGACCAAGTAATGTGATATTTGGAGGATATTTCCTTTTCTATAGAATGGGGATAACATTCAGAATTTCTTCAGTTATAAGTGGTAGACAATCAAGCAAGATTGCAGGGAGTAAATTTCTTAAAATGAGATATTAACAGGAAAAGCACGTTGAACTGACAAAAACATCCTCCACTCTACTTTATCTTCCCAAAGTTCTATGAGAATTTAAAAAAAAATTATAAAATTACACTGCCTGGAGATGAGAGAACGTGGTAGGGAGCAGGCCCATGGACAACGATGGAGGATTATGAGTGAGTTAGTGGTGGTCTGAATTGGTAACCTCTGAGATGTGATTCTGTACTTTGGAATCATATGCAGTGTTGTAAACCAATGTTACCTTGACAAGTAAATAAAATGCCTCATATAGTAAGTTCCCAACAAAGCTTGATCTCCCTGTACCACCATTACTTTTCAATGGATATATACAGTTTATCCTTTAGGACTCCTAAACTTAGTTCAGGGATGGCGTATCAGTTTACACCTAGCACAGAAGATGGCAGTCACAGACAACTCCCAGTCATTTCTCTCTTGGTCAGGTAGAACTAATTGAATAACTGAATCTGATATCAGAATGCAGAGAATAAGATAAAGGGTCCATTAGCACAGAAGACTTCCTTTTACTATATTTTAAATGTATACCTGTCCTGGGCCTCCTTGGTGGCCTAGGGTTTAAGTCTCAACACCGTCATGGCTACGGCCTGAGTTGGATTCCCAGCCAGGTTGCTGACCCACATGCACAGCAGACCTCTCCTGTCTCGCCTGCTGCTCCCCTCAGCAGTGTATTTCAGTAGATCCACCTGTTCTGTTCCCTGATCAGTCTCTGGTGAATCCTCTCACCCCCTGCACCTCTGGCCTATATCCAGTTCTTCTATGCAAAAAAGGAGAAACATTAAATGCATATATGTCCCATGATGAGGATTGAGGTAAACCCATTGAGAAACAGTCTGTCTACATTTTTTTTTTCATTACTTATAAGAAGGATGATGTGTATATCCAGGTATCCCACATTTTCCAAATGACCTCAGAATTTCATTGAAAAAGGTTCTCCACATAGACAATCATTCCAAATAATTACAGGCAAGTGTTGAAAATCCACACACCATAGTAAGTGAAATTTCATAATTTACTCTTGCAATTATTTGCTGCAATAGTGCTGCAGAAACAACCACAAAATCTCCGTGGTGTAGAGCAATAAACATTAATTGCTCGCACTTCTGGGTCGGTGGTGGCTCAGCTCTGTGACTTGGCTCGCATGGGCTGGGCTCCTCACGAGCTCGGGGGCCGGCTGTCAGCTGTGAGAGGCTGCCTCCAGTGGGGCCTCTAGTGTAACTTGGCTTAGCTCCACTTTTCCCTCATCTTTCAGCAGACTTGTTCTGGAATGTTCTCATGACAATGACAGTGGTGCAACAATGCAAGTGGAAACTTGCAAGTCCTCATTCAAGCCTTTGCTTGCCTTGTTTCTGCTAATATCCTATTGACCAAATCAAGTTACATTAGAAACCCAGAGCTAAGGGGCAGGGTGTATCACCCATATATGTGGGACGGCATGTTAAAATTATAAGCAGAGGGTGTGGGTGGAGGGAGTGTTGAAGACTTGGAGCCAAAAGGATGCCGTCTGTTACTGATAGTTACAAATTCCATCATCTCCAAGAGACCATCCATTTTACTTTTAAAAGAAAAAAATTACTTCTTATTAAACTAAAATGTTTTCTCATCGGGTAGAATTTTTACCTTACAATAATTGAAATAGCTGCTTCTTTGCCCACAGATTTTTGATGATATTATTCTTATGCATTGACACAAAGGAAACTATACACAAAATAGATTGTGTAAGATAGTTCTAAAGCATTTTCACATTCAGAATATGATTCTTCCAAATCATTTAAAAACTCTAAGCAGTTGATACTTGCGTTTTATCACAAAATAGCATCCTTTGGTGTT